CCTCCAAAAAACCAAGAAAATGAAGGAAATTTATATTTTGACTCGCGTCACTACGAGGAAATTTTTAGCCATGCTCTCTACCTATGTCCGTTTTAACGGTGGTTCTTACCTTCCTATGCTACTTCTACATGATAATACTCTTATTTTCCGGTTCCGCGTAAAAATGGAGCATGAAGCCATTTGAAAGTTGACCAATATTAGGGTCCCCTTCCTGATGATATCCCTTGCTCTGTGCGGCACTATACAATCAGATTCAATCCTCAATGGGAAATTGTGGCTGACTGTGATATTGCTACACAACGCAGTCGCATAAACCTATAAGAACGTAAATGAACACAAAGTCCGCCACCATGAATGGACAAGCAGAACTTCCCCGGAGTCTTTGGCGATAGCTGACGTCTGCTAGACAATTTCGCACAACCTCACTTTACACTCAGGGTCCTATAAAGGGAAGCAGGTCTTCTCTGAATACATGAGAGGAGTGATACATGTGCTACTCGAATATTTCCATGTGCACTCCCTGTTCCTTCACGATGCGCTCGGCCTTCAAATTGACAGGCTAGGCGAGCGGGCAGACCATGCGTTTTGGCCCTTAGTGCAGATGGCAACCTCGCAAAAGAACAAAAAATCATGACAGCCAAAGTGTCGGTGAATGTACATTTGTCAACGGGTGCCGTCCCTTGGCAATTATTTTCATTCTTCACAAGAAATTCTGCAGTAGGAGAAATTGTTGAGGTAATTAAACTATTTATATATGTCTTTCTTTAGACCAAAAAAGAATCCCAGGAATTACTTTTGAAGATGGCGTTTTCGTGATAGGAAAATGACACAAGAAAAGACCTTGGCTGAACCTCAAAGACATCATAATTGGACTTATGACCTCCCCTCTCTTGCATCGATGCTTGGCGATCTAGATCCTATTGTAAGCTTATTTTCAGTGTGTGATATATAAGCAAAACTCAAGGAGGGCATAATTACACATTCAAATGATCACTCGATTTACCTCTGCTATAAAAGCAGCCAATGCAGAGGACATACCCAGAGCTCCAAGTGCAAAAATCCCGATCATGCTGTTCACACCTCAATAATTACTTTACGTATACACACGGATAGTTAGAGCGCTATCTCACTGAAAAAACTCACCAAGTGGCTTGGATCCCTCCTCAAATTCCGTTGGAGGACATTTAGGAATGTCTGCGATTTTGAATCCTTCCAGAAAATATTTCGAAAACGTCCTTTGAATGAACTGCGACTGCATTATGATAGCAGTATTAAACTTCTTGAGAAATATGCTGTTGTTGGCAAAAACCAGGTGGGCGGATCGCTGCGGCAGTCCTAGGATATTTTATTCTTTAAAAATAATAGGTGCGGGACAGCAGTGATTGTTCTGATGAATAAAACGTAAGCACTTAGCAACAATAACAGTGAAAGATAGTAAAAAGATTCTAGAGTTTTGACACAAATGAATTAAAGCGGTGTACTTTTCAGATTCTAATTTTTTAAAATGTAAATTCTTTCAAATCTTAATTCTTCCTAGATATAAATCAGTCCGGCATCCTTCCCAAATTTTCTATCAGCATTGGTCTCAGTTAGCCAAGATTCTCGACCACTCTTAATCAAATGCTAGTTCGCGATCAATTATACAAATTAATAAGCCCGCGTCAAATTGTTAAAGTACAGAGAAAAGGTAAACATAACAATACAATTTTGCAAGAAATTCCGCTTTATTTTTTAAGGATTTTGTAAGCTTTATTAATAGAGAAGAATGAAAGTATCTAACACGCTTAGTCTGTCTATTTGCCTGTCTGCCTCTGTGTATATCTGTGTTCTATCCGTCTGTCTATCCAACTCTTTCAACTGAAGTTAGCTCATTTTTTAATGAGAGGTTTGGACCAGTTATCTATCATTAATCTATCATCTACAAAGTAAACATTAGAAGATGCTGCGAAGGAGCTGTAGAGCGGTTCATTGAAAGTAGCGGTGAAATACAGCAGAACATGCAATCAAAAAAATTGGCACGTAGCGAATTGCCAGAATGTTAAGCTTCTTCATAGAAGAGATGCAACATAGCTGGCATAATCAAATCACCTTTGTTGACGTAAACAAAATCACAGCGTTCTTTGCTCCTCTGCATGGCCAAACTGTCTTCTTGTATTGGATAAATGTAGTTCCCTTTCTCCACCAAGTCTAGTGCATCAGATACGCTGTCAGCCACTTCCTAAAAATGTTCAATTCCGGATTTTTGATATAAACAGTTAGGGGAAGAAATATTTTAAAATGATGACTATTCCAAACTGTCAAACTGGCATGACGAAAGAGCAATTGTTATAGTGCAAACAAATGATTTATCGTGACAAAGTCCCTAATATGACAGAAGCAAAAGTTACTGCTTGCGGAAAGTTCAGTTAAGTTTTTACTTCCAGTTTTTACAAAGTCAACAAACTAATATCTGTACAAGATCGGCAAGCGCATCCTATTTAGGAATGGTTTGAAAATTAAATTAAGAAGAAACTTACAACAGGGTTCGATGATGTCGCCGCTCGAAGCTTAGCAAAATGAGAGCTATTTGAATGATCGAGCTCATCAAAATACCTAAACAACCTCATTCGTCTCCTTGTCATGCCTCAATTAAGATGTTTTTTAGCATGATAAATATATTATCACTCGTTCCCCAAAGAGTTCCACTTATGTAGGTAAAGTTTATTATTTTCGCGTACCAGTTTCCTCTGTAATTTGTGACAAGATGATATTTCCCCTGAGCGATGAGACTAATCATCCCGTCAGCGTCCTTGAAAGGGTTTTCCTCGGACTGCTGAATAAGAGCAGATAGCAGAAGTCCTTCGTAAAGATACGTGAAGAAGGCCGATTGTAGCAATGAGAACAAGAAAAGCATGCCATTTCCTGAACTTTTCATTTGTAACTAGAATTACACCAATACATGTAAAAGATGAGTTTTATATCATCTTAAAACCACTGAGCTGCAAAAATTTCTTGAAACGATTGTTTGATGTGAGGTCACTTAAAGGTTTTGTAGGATATGCGTCACACAGCTCTCAATAAATGACCGTCTTTATTCTGCAGATTTAGTTACATAATCATAGCATCATCGATTAAGGGGTTTTTGTATGTGTTCTGACTATACTTCTCGCATTTGACTAAATGATAACACAGCCTTTTCCGTTTTGGCTCTAAAATTTGAAGTGGACATAAATCTTTATCTGTGCTGTACAGTTTGACAATATTAAGATTTACCCACTCTTCTCTGAAGTAGTGGAAGTTAGTTGAGTAGGAAAACCTTCATTTCCACTCTATTTTTCTTGTCAGTCTAAGTGATTTTCTAAATTTACCTGCAAATGTGTGGAAAACCATGTCATCACTTTTCTCATCCAACTGCAGCTGTACAACTTGCCATGCCATCTGAAGTAT